ACCAACACAAAGATCCTACAATTACGCACCGTCTCATTTACTATGCTCTTGACTCTCTTCAGCATGCGATAGCTTAATTGTGCACGTCCACTTTTTAGCCCCACGAGCCGCCCCTGGAAGCAAGACAGACAGACAGACAAACAAACAAAAAAATCAGCAGGACCTACCAGTTTCACCCCCTCCCGCAAACACCTGCTTTATTTGTAAATGTACAACTTTCTAAAAGCGGATTAATACAAATGGCTAGTTCAGAAAATAAACTCCAATTACGTAGTGTAAAAAGTACCATAAATCTCTAGAAAGATGTACACGTTTTCGATAAGTAAAGCGTAATTCCATCGGCTGCTTGAAACTGCGAGTGCAAAGCTTGCCCACAAAAACATTGTCAGATTTTTAAAAAATTCAGAGCCACACAGCGAGAAGCGGACAGAAAGATTCCCACTTCTCAATTAAATCTCTGGAAACAAATCAAGGTTACAGACACTGAGAAACATAGGCTATAGCAAAAACGCAAATTGGCTGCGAACTGCCATTACTGAAAGACTGTATCTAGATTACGGCCATGTCCTTTTCAAAACAAAGTTGTTGTTGTTGTTGGTGGTGGTGGTGGTGGTGGTGGTGTTGATATTGCTGCTGCTGATGATGGTGATGATTGTGATAATGATGTGCGGAGGAGGAGGATGATGAGGATGAGGATGATGATGATGGTTTAGCTGTAATTAGTGGGGGTGGGGTGGGGGGTGGGTACGGATGCTTTCAATTTATACCTGCAACAGTTTCTTTCACTGTGGGTTAAGACAAAAGAGGTAAGGAAATTAAATAATATGATCTATCAGCCGAGCTCCTCATCTTTCGTAGAACTGAATCTAGATCTACACTATATGTAGAGACGCAGACTTTTTGTATTTCTAAACATTCATTTATTGGGGAACATAAACACCCAAAACACACAGCAGTAAAACTGACCACAAATTCGAGGTTCACAGAAAAATACAAGTACATGTAGTGTGTCCGAAATGTGAACATATAATAATAATGACATAAAAATATTCATCATCATCGTCATAAGTAATAATAATAATAATGGTAATAATGATAATAATGATAATAACAGCATAGTAGGTATATGACGAGTGGCGTCATGGCTGTAGCAGTTTATTTTTGGGGGGAGAAATATGTGAGGCAGCGTGGTGGAATCAGGCTCTCATCAATTTTTGAGCATTAGAGTTATTGGTATCATCTTAAAACTTGTTCACTTGTCTTTATTTGGGTGAAAAGCACTTCCATTTATCTTGAATACAAGTCGAGATATTTGTGGATGAGTGAGATGGGGGTCACCTGTTTTCAGAGGTAAAATTAGTGAGAAAATGGCCGCCAAAGATTAGTTATTTCCTTAGCTTAAGAGTCCGTGGTAACTGAAAATTAATATTTTTGTGTGCCTTTTATCGACGTTTTTCAGAAAAATCCACACCGAAATGGGTTCTTTAAAGGGCATGAATAGTGTTGAGCCAAAAAACAAAAATTTTATTAAAATTTACAAACCTGAGGAAAAAAGCAAGTTTCTTCACTTTGATTATTTTGACGAGAGCCTGATTCCA